CTTTCTATGAATATAATAGCATGAATCATCTAAATATTTTTTTATTGTATACCGTATCCAAAAATATAATATGCAAATGGGTGCACTTCTCTCTCCTATTAGTGGGAGAGAGAAAATATATGGCAATTTTCGGTAATTGTGCACTTCTCTCTCCTATTTTATTTAATATATATCTGACACAAAAAATTCACATCAAAACTTTATAGAAAAAGAAAATGGCATTATGGTCATTTTTCAGACCATTCACTTAATAAATTTATGGGAGTCTATATGGTTAAATGTAGGTTGTTGGAGTATATTTCATCTAATTTCTCTTGTAATTTTTCTCAACATTTTTTAAAAGTTTCTTTTAAGTTTTTGTTTTGATATACCAGTTGAAAACCTAGTAAAAAGATAAACCGGTATTTACAACCATCCGACGATCTTTTATACCAGAGAAAGCTCTTTCATATTATTGTCCCGTGAGAACATCTCTCTAGAGACTTGATTGTTAATCATTGACTCAATCTTATAGTGAATGACTTCAAAAATATTTTATTTCATCTTGTGCATATATCTTTCTAAGTTTTAGTGAAGTTCTCTTAAACAGTTTTGTACAATCATTTTTTGTCATATTTCAAGGTCGCAAGAAAAATAAACGTAATAGTTTTTTTTTAAATAGGTTAACAAGTAAAAGAGTTCAGATAATTTTATAAGTTAAATGTGTGGTTAAAAAAATAAAGTTTGATTGAATGTAAAATTTTGTTTTTATTGAGTTACAAACCTTTTAATCAAAAAAAAACTTTTCAATTCACCAAAAAAAAAGAAACTTTTCATGTTTTACGAAATATATAACTTTTAAAAATAATATTTTTTTTCTATTAACATCTTTGAAATATGGTTATGAGATATGGTTATGTCAATTAATTTTTACTAACTGTTTGAATTATAAAATTCATAAATACGTTTTAGTTTTTTAAAATGTGTTATATTATATATATAGATATATTTTAGGTAAAACAAATTTATATTATCATTACTAATAAAATCATGTATATTTTTGTATTTATTAATTTTCATTCATTTTATTTAATTTTCACGTATTTTTTCTAATTTGATTGTTTATTAGTTATACAAAATAATAAATATGATTTAGTGTGTAGTAAATGACCATTTTAAAACTTAAATGTTTAAAAAAATATTTTTGCCTATGTGGACACCTTAGATGGAGAGAAAACTCTCTAATTATATAATATATTATTAATTTTTTTTGTTTATTGAACAAAAATTAACCAAAATTGATTTACTATACAGTTTTTTGTTGAAAAAACAAAAAAAATAGAAAATGGAAAAAGGAAAATTACGTGGCACAACCTTAGCCGAGAGTTCTCTCATTTCCGTCGACGACTTGAGTCGAGGATTCCAAACGCCGTCGCATAACTCCGCACCATTGCTAATCTCTCTGCACCAACTCACCCACTCTCTCGAAAATGTTCCTCTTAAAGGTACCTCCTTTTTTCTGTCCTTGGAATCACTTATCTACGTATCTTGTTGGTTTTCTGTCTCACTTTCTGGATTAAAAATGGGTACTTTTTGATCTGTAGACATGGAGATCGACCGCTTTCGGGATTTATGGCTATATGAATTTCACCAAGAACGGTTTCATGTACGTCATTTCTTCCCCTCCTTGCGATTTTGTAGTGACGATCGATTTGAGTGTTTTCGAATTTGTTTGTGTAGTCTTTGCTTGTTCCTACATTTGATTCAAGTGGGGTCTTAATTATGTCGAAATGAAAAAAAGATGGATTTTTTTTTTGTTTTTTACTGAATCATTGGAATCTTGTTTCATCAGACTCATATGATTCATGTTGTTTGGTATTGAGCCTGTGGGTTAACATAACCAAAGAAATCAGAAGATTCAATCTTTGATTGAATAACATGACAATTGATCAGCCCTGTTATGGAGAACTGATTCATGTACTCTCCGGTGTGTTTGGCAGAGAGCATTCGAAGAAGTTTAAACCGGACGATATGCAGATACAAATAGAAGGGAAGAATTGTGTTGTTACTGGAGCTAATTCTGGTATTGGTTATGCTGCTGCAGAGGGTCTTGCTTCACGGTAGGTTTCTCATTTATGGAATTGAGGGAAATTAGGAAACGAGTTTTCGCAAAATATATCAGTCCTTTTCTTTTTGTCTGCGAATGATTTTCAGTGGGGCGACTGTTTACATGGTGTGTCGGAACAAGGAAAGAGGACAAGAGGCACTTTCTAAGATTCAAAGCTCAACAGGAAACCAGAATGTGTACCTGGAAGTATGTTTTCTTCTTCTTTAAAAATTCATTCGACAAGTGTCTATGTACATCGGATATCAATCCTTTTACCTTTGCTTCTTTGTTAGGTGTGTGATTTGTCATCCGTTAATGATATAAAGTCCTTTGCTTCGACTTTTGCATCCAAGGATGTTCCGGTTCATGTGCTGGTATGCTGTATTTTCTTTTACCACTTTTTAGAAACACATTTCACTATAACTCAACTACTCTACAACTTGTTTGATTTTGAGTTTCAATTTTTAGGTTAATAATGCCGGTTTGCTTGAGAACAAACGTACTACTACACCTGAAGGGTTGGTCTCAGTTATCTTTCTTAAGCATTCCATTTTCATTTGATCTTCTTGATTTATAGCCCTTTTTTACTCTTCTGCTATATCAGATTCGAGTTAAATTTTGCGGTGAATGTACTCGGGACATACACAATGACAGAGCTGATGCTTCCACTGTTGGAGAAAGCGAAACCAGACGCCAAAGTCATCACAGTCGCCTCTGGTGGAATGTACACGTCGCCTCTCACAACAGATCTTCAGGTAATCAATATGCAGATCACTTATGTAATCTTCACGAATTGCTTATATTCAATTTTTTTTAACTCTTTGGAACCATTTGCATCACTCCTATGTCGGATCTACAACTTAGGCTACATATGATTTTTCTGCAGTTTAGTGATGACAAATTCAATGGAGTGGAACAATACGCACGGAACAAACGAATCCAGGTTGGTGAAATCCGAATCTACTTGTCAACATCTCTATTTTGGTTTTCTAAGTTTATTTGTATCTGATTTATTAGGTGGCTCTGACAGAAAAATGGGCTGATAAGTACAAGAATAAAGGAATAGGATTCTACTCAATGCACCCTGGCTGGGCTGAGACACCTGGTGTAGCCAAGAGTTTGCCGAGTTTCAGTGAATCGTAAGAAAAATCCGCTTGAGAAAACATATTTAATGTTAAAAGCAAACATGTTTTTGTGCTAAAGAAAGTTTAAAACTTGTGAATCAGGTTCTCGGGTAAGCTTAGAACAAGCGAACAAGGAGCAGACACAATCGTTTGGTTAGCACTGCAGCCTAAAGAAAAGCTGGTCTCTGGTGCATTCTATTTCGATAGAGCTGAAGCACAAAAACATTTGAAGCTTGCAGGTACAAGCAAGTCTCATGATCTTATTGACTCTGTCATTGATACTGTACATTCCATGGCAGCTCTTGATCCGTAAATACTATCTTCCATATTTTTTTTCCTCGAAAATAAAATCCGCTTTCTGGTAAATATCGCAATGGAATAGATTCAAGTATTATACTTTTCTTTCTCTTTGTGGAATTACTATTGCTGGATATTTATATCTTTTGTAATGAGCAAAAGAAGAATGACACATAAAGCATCGCCATAGCTATATTTTGGCCATCATCGTTTTTTTTTTTTGTACAGATTTTTACTGAAAAGAGTAGACATGAAACTAGAGAGAATCACAAATGAGATGGGTAGGAAGATAAAACCAAGGGCTTTAAAAGCCAATACTGTTTGAATCTTTGCTTAAATACTCGATACAGTTGAACTCAATCTTAAGCACATAGCTCTACACAATCACATTCAGAGATAATCGAAAGCTTCTGAGATTGTTGTTATTTTCATCTAAGATTTCAGGTAAATATCGCATTGGAATTGAAACAGAGTATTTAAATTTTCTCTCTTTTGTGGAACTATATTTGTGCTGGATAAATTTATAACTTTTACTCATTACATAGTATCAGGAAAGAAGAATTACACACACCATTTTTAGCTTTGGCGTAGTTGTATTATTGATACATCATTGTTGACATAAACATAGATAGAATTAATTATGAGATGGGTAGAGAGATAAAAGCTGGGGCTTTCGAAGCCAATACTGCTTGAATCTCTGCCTCGAATACTCAATATAATCGAACTCAATCTTGTTCACATAGCCCTGCACAATCACATGCACACACAATCATATTAGCTTATGAGATTTAATGCCTACTTTGATATGCATCAAAACGAAAGAGAAATTTAGCTTACAGATATGATTCCCCATAAACCCCAAAAGAGATGGCTTGCCAATGTATACTTCTCAGTATCATCCAAGAGTTGTTCTATGTCTTCTTCTCTTGGTTCTTCACCTGTAAAAGAAAAAGAAAAAAAGTTTTAGTTTTAAGAAGAAAGTATCTCAAAATGTTATTTTGAAACAAAAGGAACATAGCTTTGACCTGAAGAAGTGATGTAATTGCAGATGAATCTCCTCCTTTCTTCTTCTCCTGCAATTCCCAAACCATAATTTTTAAAAAGAAGAAAACACTTCTCAATTATGGATTTATAGACATTTCTTAGATAGATCATTGTACCTGGATATAAAGTGTAGTCCAAAATATGAGGAGTGTCCGAATGGTAATTTGCCATCATCTCACAGAAGTGATTTGCTAAGTCGTAAGCAATTGGGTTATAACTTGCATACTCATAATCCTGTCCAAATCCCATTTTTCACACAAACTCCACAAAAGATTAGACAGAGAAACCGAAAAAACGACTAAAATCTCGATGTGTTCATCGTTGCGCGATGATATTGTTTTACCTCGAGTTAATCGTACCGTAATAATGGGTTTTTTTTTCTTATAACTTTTATCCCCATTCTGAAAAACAGAAAAAATGGTAATGAATTTTTTTGGTTATGATGAGTAAGACTTACAATGATAGTAATGGCACTGGTGTCTTCATCAATCATGATGTTACCATATTGCAAATCATTGTGACAGAATCCAATCTCTTGTTGGTGATAGTCATTGTTCACTTCTTGTTCTAGGAAGTTGATTTCATTTTCAATGTTGTCTAGACCAAACTCTGTTGAATCTTCAGCCGAGCATAGATTCTTAGCTTGCCCTACCCAAGTCCTATCATTTCATGTTCCAATGGATATTATTTTCGCCTGATCGAAACATTTACGGAAACAAAAAACATATGGTTTTGAAGTTTCTTACCTCATCCTGTCCCATATGAGTACAGTTTTATCTCCAGGAATGTTTATGCTGTGAAATCTTCTTAGCTTAGATGCAACCAGAGCTGATATGTTTGGATCACGAAGATCGGTTGCCGATAGGGTCTGATCCAAAGTTAGAGATGTAATAATTAGTATTGCAAATTTGTAACAATCTTACGATAGAAATAAGATCAAACAAGAATTTAGTGATGAGTGATGAATCTAGTGGAAAACGCTGTCTTAGCTTTGTAATTCCCTTTTTAAGAGGTGTTCTGTTTTGGTTTGTGATACTTAGAAACCAATTGAAAATGTTCGATTCGGTTTGATACGGTTTCGGTTTCAATCCTGACTCTGGTTGTTCCACACAAATTTTGGCTTTAGTCCGTTTACTTCTCTTTCGGTTTGATTATGTTTTTTTCCTTCTAATAAACGGTTTGATTATGTTTCGGATAAACAATACAAAAGATGGTTTTTTTTGTTTGGTTTGCGGGTCAGTTTGGATCGGTTTTACACCTCTCTACCTTAAACAACTCAACATGTCAGCTAAACCGGACATACTTTGGTTTTGGTTCACGAAATCGGTTCATTTTGGTTATGCTGGTATTTCCCGGTTTACGACCCATTGATTTCAGCGAATCATGACATCACGTAGATATCGTGAACCAATATCAAAGAAACAGAATCTTGAT